GGAATTAGCCCATGATATGCAATTGGTTTTGCAAAGTTATGTAAACAGACACACAAAGCAAAAAATACTCGTGTTAGAAGTTGCATTTGTTTTGCTGTAGCTACTGTTTTGTAGTAGATATTATCCAAAATAATTTCCTTGACAGTAATTTTATAGTTTCTTGCTAATGATCTCAAGCTTCTTGAAACAAATCTCACAATGAGATCAAATCTTGCACAATAGGAGGACTAAGACAGCATACGTTGTATACTTTGTATACAGAAATTAGCATTTTTAGAGTCTTAGCACACCTTCAAAATCCCCTTGTTCGGAGCTGCAGGGCCAGAATGACATTTGATGATCCCAGACCTSATCTGAGTCTACACAGGACCCAATGTCTCCACCAGCTTCAGGCTGACACGCTGCTCATTGCACCAGAGCAGAATGAATAATCTCCAGACATGAGTTACTGGCACAATTAAGGCAAGAGCACAGCTGACTGACATAGTGAACAAAAGACCTTTGGCAAAGCTCACAGTGGAAAAGCATAGAGAGGAAATTCACTCTTGGCGCTGAGCACTCGCGAGTACAAGCAGGACGAACTGCTGATTAACAAGCTCAGACTCTCAGACTGAATTCCAAAGGATGAACAATGGCAATAACATTCTGTTATGTCTCTCCACAGCATGCAAGCAATTTATCATTAAGTTATAATCCATAGGCAACTCCAGCAGTACATTTTCACAGTCTAATTGATACATATGAGGTTTGGCTTACAGCTTTCAAAAGGAGTCAGAAATACAGAGAATTCTGTTCCATCCAACAGGAGTACCAAAACTCTAATATTAGTTATAGGTGGAGTAGATTTTGATGACTCTAACATAGCTGGATCCCTCAATAAGGTAGGCAAGACATGGTTGTGCCTTGGAGGGTGCACACAGRGCTGGGCTGCTGGGATTTCCTCATAAAATGAACATGCAGGTTTGGGGCGTGATTGTCTTCTACAGCAGTCAGGTCAACCCCTCTCTGAGGAACATATTTTGCCCCACATTAACTAATTTGATTCTTTTTACAACTTCTACCAGTGCAGCACTTCAGGTTAACTGGTCCCTAGGTCRCAGGGTCACCTCTGAGCCTTTCTCACACATTCCCATCTTCTTTTTCCTTACCTGTGGTACTGAGGTCGGTGCAAATAACTGATTACATGGATTACTGGGCATTTCATATTTGCGGGAATCCCTCTCTGTTCCAAGTGCCATATTTTTTTGACCCTTTGATCTGATGCAGTCCTGGAGACACTTTTGTTCTCGTTATAGGAACCTCCCTGTCCTCCCTTACTGATTATTGATGCAAATAATATATTTAAGTTTTCTGCAATGGCTTTCTCTTCCAGACCTGCTTCTTCTGCACCTCTTTCTCGTGTTGGCACCATCAGTTCACCAATTACCTTCTAGGCTGAGGTAAGTGAATGCAGTTATCAGGTCTGTATGTTTAGCAAGTCACTCTTCAAAATGTTGTGGACTTATTTATGGTGGTTTCAGTTATTTTCTCCAAGTTAAGTCTTTTATCTACTCTTCTCCATAGAACAGGACTTACTTTTTGAAGGGCCTTTTTTCTCCTGATAACCTGTTCCCTTTTGACATCGTAACTACTTTTGATATTTGAAGAGAATAATGGTACACATTTATACCGGACCTTTATTGTGTCTTTAAGCAGAGTCCACATGGATTGTGCTAGCTTCCCTTTTTTTACTTAAATTTGCCATTTTAAGGTAAATTGCTGCAAAGCCTGATTTTTTTACTTCATCCTTCTGTGAGGAGTTGAATTTGAGAATGACAGTGTCAAGACATAATTATTTTCCTTTTACTTAGAATGTTGGCAGCTTAGCTCTGCTGAATGTATGTGACCAGTGAGTGGTACTGGCATCCAGGTATGTCAGTCACTGTGGTACCTCAGCTCTCACTCCTCAGGTGAGCCCTGAGAGCATCTCTGCAGAGATACATGGTTGGTACACACCGCAGTAAATGGCACACAGTGCTGTCCTGTGTGGCAGCTGTGAGAGAACCCTCTGAGGGATAGGGACAGCCCATGGCCAGGGGAAGTGCTGTGCACATGTGCACAGTCTCCCGCTGAAGGAGCTGCAGGCAAAAWTACCTTGAGTTCCCAACTTTTCAAGTCCTGGGAGAAACAGAGTAATTTAGTCCTTTGGTGAAACACACCATGCCAAGAGAGGTTTTCTGAACTCCGTGCTTTTATATCACACTTGACCTGCCAGCTGAGTAACACAGTATGGCATTATCTGATTTCTCCAGTGCTTACAGCAAAATGACTTCATAATAAAAGCATTCACATTCTCCTATACAACTTCAGATTTTGCTAGACTGTTATGTTTCTAATCATGAAAAACATGGCTTATTTCAGATGATAAAGTAGCCATAAATAAAGAGCTCACAGGAGCAGGCTGACAAATAAACTTTTTATATGTTTGGTATGTATGGGGATGTAGTTTGTGGTGACAGCACATTGCTCAGTAGAGCAGGTCATATGCTGCTTCCTATTACACCAGTGTCAACCCAGAGAATTTCCATTGTCTATATTTCAACCAGTTCAACTAAGATAAAGATCTCTGCACAGGATTTCATAGCCTTTTTGCCACTGTATAGTATTATTAAAAAAAGAAAGTACTGTARGGGTCAAATTACTTTCAATATTGTTTATGATAATAAATGCACTGCAAATGGTTTTGTTTCATCCATTAATCATAATAAAATCATAAAAAAGGCTGAAATAGATTTCAGTAAGGTATCAAGTCCTTCTCCTGTAACATTTTGAAATGTAGGCTTGTGATACAATGCAATGCCTGTCACTGTGACTGTCACTGGAAACCAGACTTCAAGGTAGACATTGCCATTTTAGTTTGCACAGTGATAAGACTTTGTGTCAATCAGGTYCTCTGCCCTTAGAATACTTGTAGTAAAAATAAACAAAGATGAAATAATAGAACAGTAGAGAGAATGGTTCAGAGGGACAAGTGAAGATGCATTCAAAAAGCATCGTGTGGCATGCACGTATCCAAGAACAAGAAGGAAATGGGAAGCTGTATGCAGGGCTGGGCTGGCAGAATGCACACAGACACGTCTGACCCAGACTTTGGTTCACAGCCTCTTCTTCTCCTAATGTCTGGACCCGAGCAACAGGGGCAATGTGCTGGAGCYCTCCCAGAGCTGGCAATGGCACACTGCTCACCTGGGCTGGCTRCACTCAGTCCCTGTCAGGGCTGTGATCCTGGCAATCGTCCTCACCTGGAGGGAACAAGGAAGTGTTAAAGGTGTCACAGGCTGGAGAGGCACAGCAGGTGTTGCTTTATCTTGGGAGTGATSCTCCAGCCAGGCCCCTGTGAGGTTCACCTGCCTGGCAGTCCAGGGCTGGGGAACTGAACTGAAGGCTCATAGAGACAGTGACAAAAGTAGGGCAGCATCCATGGACAAAGCCTGAGCAGCTTAACTCACACTAATGGAAAAAGGGATTTGAGTCGCTAAAATCTGGCACATCTAACTGAGATGAAAATATAACTCCAAGTATGCATTTCTGGGCTATAAGAGTGCTGGGAGAGAGGAGAAATAATACCTACCATGCTCCTGGGGAATTTCTGGAAAGAAATGTAGTAGTTTTTATACACCGATTAAAAAGTTGAAATGCAGATAAGCCTTTTCTCTCAGCAGTATCTCAGTGATCTTGAGCTACACGTAGTCYGTGGAAAAGGGGCACCTCAGAACACATTTCATTCTCTTTCCCTTCTCATTCTGGCACATGGAATTCAATGATACAAATGCTAGAGCACTACAGTGTTTGTGACAGCTGTAGGGGAAGGGTGGTCAGCACTATAGCTGAACTCACCTTTTCCATGTGGAAAGGGTGCCTTACAACCACACAGATGGCTCTTACAGAAGGTCACCAGAAGTGTTCATGCACACCCTACTTATTTTGGCAAGGTACTCATTGATTCAAACTGCTTCTTAGATTCTCTCTCCCCTTCCCAATAAAATTTTTATCATGTTTTTAAATCTTTGCCAGCATCAATATGGCTGATTTAATTTCRCACAAAAGAAGTGTGGGAGCAGCAGTCTTGGTTCCCGTGGATAAACACTGGACTACATGCTACTTGTGTTTGACAATGTCAGCTGTGAGCCCTTGAAGTATCAAGTCCTGCCAGGCAAGACATTAAACTTCTKTCAGTGAAAGGGGCACACTATCTGCTTCTCAGCTGTTTCTTTTCTGAACAGCTACCTGATGTGWAAGAAAATATTAAACGTGGCTATTTAAAAGTAAAGCCAGAACACTTTTTCTAATGCATTGAACATTCACGACAAATCGTAGAGGCTGGGGATCAGTCCTCAAGGCATGTCTCAGATCAGTCTGGACATGCAGTAGTGCAGGGAAAGCATTTTTAAAGGGGCAAAGACTCCAATAATACTTTGGYTGTAATGCAATTTGTACCTTCTGAGCCATCCCTTGCAGTGAAGCTGATGGATTAACTCCTGAGACRACTGGGTGCAGTTTTGCTGGGTTACCCAAGCCGGAGCATGGTCAGTCCAAGAGTGGGATTATGAAGAGGGTTATGTTGAACTGGGATCTTTATTCTCAGCCAATGTCTGCTTGTTCCCAGGTATCTTCATACTGAAAAGTGTGAAGAAATKAAACTGATGACTAGCCAAAAGGCAACAGATAAAAGGTTCATGGATTTATTTTCTCTCCATGTATCCAGTTAATCTCTTTTCCATTTTTAACKTCTGTAGATGTTGAATTTGAATTCTGGTATTGTTGATACCATTTCAAGGTGATCTCAGCCTTGTGTGGGTAAGCTGATATGGTTACCCATACTGCTGGCCTTGCACTATCCCAAACCCCCAGACAACCCCAGCACAGCCCCCACTGTTCTCTGAAATTCGGCTGTTTCTTACAAAACTCCTTAACCACCGGGGAATTCCTCACAGCACCATTTGTCAGCTTCTTACCCTGTGATATCTCASATCCAGCAATTTCTGATGCCATATTTAGGAATTTGTCAGGCCATGTTCTGTGAGGTGTGTCCCATCCCCTGCCTGCAGCCCCAGCATTCAGCAGCACAGCCACAGCCTGAGAGAGAAACATGTGCATTCTGCTAGGACTAAACCAGAGTCACCATGGTATGCAAAAAGTTAAAATAACAGTGTTTCTCTGTTCATGTGATACCTCTTTTCCATGCTGCTTAGTTCCTGATCACTTATGGAATGAGTTCTTGAAAGTAGAGGATGCACCATCAGGTCCCAAAKGCAGTGCCTTGTGTTAAATAAGAGCTTCAAAGGGACAAAAAGATGTTTGTGACAGCAGCAGGAAGCTGTTTCGGTGGATGATGGGTTCAAATCTGACAAAACAAAACTTGGAGTTAAGAAATGCACAGTTCAGGAGAAATGTCTTTAAATGAGGAGGAATGGAAAATTAAATAGAACCACAATGGTCATCTGAACTACAGATATTATATTAGATTTGGACAGGTCCTCAGAGGAAAATATAAACACCTTGGTGTAAAAAAGATCAGCCACAATAGCAAAGTGGATAGTCCTGGAAGTGCGTGGGACTTTTTATGTGCAATTTTAGAAAACCAAGCTATGCATAGATGATTTGTTGCATTTTCAGCATAGATTTTATCCCATTTTTATGATTTTAKGATTATCCAAATCAAGCATAAAATGAGCAGCACCTCATTCAACACATTCACTGGAATTTCCAGTGTATTTATCATTTTCTGCTGGGAGCTTGGATATAGCACTGATTAGAAAACAATATGGCAGGAAACTCTTGATGTTAAACATTTGAGTTATGTATTACAGATTGTCTCAAATTCTCTGACTTTTCAGATTTAAATCTTTTCAAAGTTTTTTTCTGAAGCTTTTGGCACATTTTCTCCAAAATATGYATAAGAAAGACAGAAGATTCATGCAGGACTCTGCCCTTCTGTTATTATTTAAACACTGATGCTTAAGGTTTAAATTTACAGGGAACAAATCATTCCACATCAAACGAAGGTGTTGCATATTTGTTTACAGACCGAGCTCCAGTAGTAATGTGTATTTGTCATGGAAACTGATTCGAGTTTAATTCTAGTCTCTCTTTTGCACCAGGAAAATGTGAGTTTCATTTTACTTGTCTCTGTTTTCAATTATAATTTGACAAAAGAAATAACCGCATTACCTATTTGATTTGCCAGAACTTTATCCCAGCACCACCTGTTGAGCCCTCGGCACTCGAATTCTGACATATAGCAGAGAACAAAATTATGCAGTTGGCATTCTAACCTGCAAGGATGCCAACAAAAGCATAATATATCCTTTGTGCTCAAAGCACAACAAAATATATATTAAGCTACCAACTGCAAAGGTTTAAGCAAGCCATATTTAATTATACATGAACATATCTTTCCAACAAATAGCTCRGTAGAAAAATGCTATGGAAGTTAGAAAGAACCCTTTTTGTTTGCTTTGGTAAATATTGCGAGCTTAAAATAAATAAAGTTTCACAATGCCATATAGATTTACATGAGAGATGGCAAGASGACAGCCAGCTGGTTTATTCAAATAGATGGGTTCAACACTATCAGCTTCCCTGTTTAAACAAAATGGCCCATGTTCATTTCTCACCGGGGATCTGACCTGGTGCAGCTCTGGTCTCCCAGGAAGGTGGAAGAAGAGGTTCCCAGCACTCATCTGGATCCAAACCTCTCTTCTGCAAGTAACTGSGACAAAAATAGAAGGGATCAACTGTGTCTTTGATGAATGTTTCTGTTTCTCCACAAAAATAGTCACAATTGCTTTCTTTGTTCTCCAGGCATGAGCTCTGCACAGGAGAGGGATGGAARTTGAAGGAGATAGGACAGGTCAGTAGGGAGGAGGCAAAACCTCTGCTCCCCAGTTCTGCAAAGGTCAGATCAGGGCTGTGCAGGGGCTGTAAACTCACAGGGGATTTGCACACTCGGGTTCTAGCAGTGATGTTAGAGCTTCCAGAATTTGTTAAAATATATGAGTCAAAACACTGCACACTTTTTAAGGACAGTTTTAAAATACTGCTGACAGTGACAATTCTCATATTTTTACTGCCTCCCCAATAAGCCTAAGAAATTTAACTACCAACCACTTAAAATTTAAAAACCAATTAATTTTGTAAACAAGGGAACAAACRGCTGTAAATCACAGAGTAATCAAAAGATTTTACTTACTGTGCTAACTTTTGAATCCTGAGCTACTTACGTAAACCCTTCCATAGTAGGCTCATGCAAGCCTAAATGGAGGAGGCACCTCTTGGGACCTGTTAGACATGCCCAGACACAAAGTTCTGTGGTTCCTGAAAGGTATGAATGCAACCCAGAATGTTAACTGAGAACGTCCTCTGATAGAAAGTAGAACATTTCCTATTGTGTTCAGAGAAGTGGAGTATATTTTGCATGTCAATTGCTTTCTTACCAATGCACAGCAGCAATCAGCATTCAGCAGAACTTGCAGCATCTCCATCCATTTTGAAGGGTTCAGTTGGACTGGACAGAGCTCAAGCAACCTGAAGTAATGAGACTTGCTTGAGGAGGGAGTTGGAAAACTAACCTTACCGTTATTAAATTAAATCTTACTGAAATGCAATTTTTATTTTTTTTTTAAAGATTGGAATTAGGTATTTGCTATTTATAATAGCTTACAAAACATATACTTTTGTAATTTGGTATGTAAATGTGCTTTGATTATTTATTCAATTTTTACTGCAGGGATTGATTAAATAGAAGTAAATCCATAAGTGGTCCAGTAAGTGTATCAGGTACCTGGTGGTGTAATCCCAGAGAGTCAGTGAGAGTGCTTGCCTAAAACTCTAAAATGGTGGCTTGAAACCTACCCCAATATCCTTAATTTTTCTGTGTTGAAAATATAACCTGACAATTGTTAATGAGAAAACCWTTCCTTCATATTTGTAATAGAAACTGTAAAACACTTGCTAAGAGACAGGCCACATTTAGGAAAGCCAAATCTAGCTGATCTCTCCTTCTCAATTGCAAATATCCTTTGTGGTAACCACATTTCATTCACGAGACTAAAGCTAGAGGAAGTACACATATGACAGATAGYTTGGCATCATCCACTTCTGGATTTCTGTGATGTCTAACAGCCAAGAAAATGTTCCATCCTTTTAATTTCATTCAGATAGCTGATCCTTTGTAGTAYTTACTCTAGATGAAAGCTTCAGATRGAGTATCTGGTTAGTGTTTGAAWAGGGCATCAAAGAACTCTCCTGTAATAGAATCCATCATCTCCTGRTTTCTCCCCTGTTCAGAGTGACTACAAATGCTTAAATTGCAATGTGGATAGAACTTTGAGTTTTAGAATCATAAAGTACTTTGAAAACTCACTTTAGAAATGCACTGTGTGGTTCACTGCCTTCCACAATCTAACATTCAGAACACTTCTGTGCCTCGCAGTAGCCTTGCAAAGATACTGGAAGCACTTGAACACTTCCTTGCCCATCAGACACACAAGAGAGCCGCAGGTAGATGGATGAACAGGCTGAGCTCGTGAAGTGGCTTTTTCACCCTTGACTGCTGTTAGGAATTTGATGAACTCACCCTGAATATTTGAGGTGAGCATTTCAGCATGGAAGTTCTTGCATGTAAAACAGATATGAAAATTATGAAGCTCTACAGCTAGATTACAATGTGCTGTACAAAAGGCAGCACCTTTTCAGGCAATCTTCAACGTATGCTAGGTGTAATGAAAATTACTCAAATACTACTTGGCTCCTTTTTCACTCAGCAGGTAATTTCTGCTAGTGTCTTGTATCACCATATAAAGTGGGATTCACTATTGAATTTAATTCCATTTAATTCCAAACCATTTGGGAAGCATTAATGATTCTGGAATTAAGTGTCAATGGTTCTTACATTAGTTTAGTGTTTTGTGTCTCAGCGCTGCTGCAAGGGAGCGCCCTCACTTTGCATCACATTTCTCTGAGTATTCTGATAGTGCACACACCCACACAACCTTCAGCAGAAACCACTGACCCTGGGGATCCTTTCACTTTAAGTTGAGTTTACCTGTCACTGAAGGTGACTGAGGTCAGCTGGCTTAAAATGACTGATCTATAACCCACACTTCCTGAAGAGATAATGTAAATCCAAAGAGAGAGTCTCATAAATTCCCAGGGAGATCTGGGTATCATAAAAATAGACTTGACACCACTCCAAAGTTTAGCCTCTGCCTTGATGAAGAGGAATGAAAGKCAGCTTTGGTGCAGATCCTTCACAGGAGATACTTCTCAAAGTGCTCCTCTGCAATCTGTGCCTTCCTTCTTTTGGCAACTTGTCACTKATCCCCCTGCCAGCTTTCACTGATAGTGAGATACTGCAGCTGATGAAGGTGGGAGAGAAAAAGAACTTAGACTTCTCAGCCGAAGTTATTGTATCATTATTCATGCAGATACTTCTGTAGAACTGTGCTCAGGGTGATTGATGCAGGGCACAGACAAATATTTGAATAGAAAAATACTACCATGTTGAATGGAATTCTATAGAAACAGCTCTAGGAGCTTAACGTATTTGTAGAATTAATCTTGGTATATTTTTTTGAATGACCTATTAAATATCTACACCAAGAGCAACATTTGCTACTGCATTCTGTGGATTTTTTTTTTTCTGGAACTTGCCCTGTTCTGCTTCCTGCTCATCATAATCACATCGTTCCTACTGCAACCCGAGCCTTTCACTGCTCTGGAAAGTGGCTGAGATTTACCCAGTACYGCCTCCCAACGCAAAGTGATTTCCTGTCTCAATGACTAAACTGTTGCATTGAGCAGAGAAGCACTCTAATTTCACTGTCACCCTGTGAGCTGGCGAGATGATTCATCCGTTTGTTTATGTGCCGAAGGCTGCCAGTGAGGAGCAGGCTTTGGGAAGGGGCACGAAATCGCCTGATGATTTCATTTGGCAGCGCCTCATACTGCCGGCCTGCTTACATTGGCACCTACCCATGTAGGCAGCCATGCAGACCAAACAGCTTAACAAACAGTCATGAAATTATTACCATAAACTGTCTTTAAAAATTGTCTTGGTTCCTGATTGTCTTAAGACATATAAACACATTTTACCGCAGTGATATTGCCCATTACAAGGGATATCCAATCCACGAGGGACTTCTCCATTATATGGCAGTAAAAATAAAACCACGATGGCTCTTGCCAAACTTGTTCAAAGTTTACATGGATTTGGTTCGATGAATGTGGTGGAAAATTATATCCAGTATTTTGGGTACTGGCCCACTCCTTACCTCTCAACAGTGCTTCTTCCAGCTTTTAAAACAGATTTCAAAATTGTTTAGTTTTACTTGGATTATAATATTTAAAAAATAAACCACATGAAACAGAACATCATTTAAGGTCAGTAAAATGTGGCTCTTCTTGATGCTTTTTTTTCTAATTGTAAATAATAGTTAGTGATTTTTGCTCTGCTTTTCTTGGATGCTGCTGGTCTAGGGTTATCTACTGCTTCTAAGAGCAATTGCTCCTCACATGTTATTGAAATAGATCATCTTGTGATTAAACTGGAGATACCACAATGCTATACAGAAGATAACTGGTACAGTGGCAAAAACCATGGGGCTTTTCCTGTCTCACTACCAACTTCATTAAATTTCTGTGGGCTGCGTAGTTGAGTGAAATCAATAGGGTATTCTGGTATTGTGATGGACTTCTAAATGGACTATGAATGTTACTGACAAAAAACTATTTAATAATGGAGAGGCTCCCTCTTCCCCTCAAATTTCAGCGTTATACAGGAGGAGACGTAACATGTTAAAAAAAACCCTAAACCATTATCTTGAAATATTTGATTATTTTGAATGTCTGTAAACTAATAAAATTTCAGCTTTCTCACATCATTGGAAACAATCACACCAGAAATACTTTGTCAGAGGGACAGTTTGTAGACAGCTGGCTCAGATATTTGCTTGGTTGTCTTTGGCACTCCTTGTATTTAAATGTGGGGTTCTAGGACTGTCGATATGTACAGGACTCTTAACAGGAGTTATAAGCAGAGATCAATAGTTTTTCCTGCAGCAGGTCATCGGGCACATAACTTACTGAAATAGAAGGCTCAGTGCTTCTGACCTCCCTCCTACCTCAACAAATAAATCTGGGGCTAGGACAAGCATATTGCTGGTCTTAGGCTTGGGGTCCTCTGGAAACTCCTCCGATAAGCAGAGCCCCTTGAGGAAAGAATTAATTTGTTCAACTGTGTTGGGCATTGTATTTGTATATGTGAAGTGTGAAGATGCCTCCGATAATAAATGGTTGCATTCACAGAGGATTTGGGCTCTGCTCTTCTCCCTGGGGTAAATGTTTGCTACCCTTATAAGCAAAATCGGACTGCAAAACCTAAGTAGGTGTCTTAAGAGATGGTGAAAAATTCCAGAGAATGAACCTCCGATGGGGAAATTTTCTCTCCTGAAGCACCCTTTCCTTCTGATGATCTTTTGCAGGGCTGAGAGGCAGAATGACAAAGTAGCCGCAGGTGCTGCAGCTTTAGACGGGGAATTCGGCCCTCTCCCCGCCCCGCTGTGACCCCACGGCTCTGGCCAAAGCCGCGCTTCCCCAGCGCCGCGCAGCCACGGGAGGAGCACACGCCCACACGTCCTGGCCGAGCGGCACCTTCATTTTGCTTCATTTCGGACACAAGCCTGTCGCATGAGCTAGCTCGGTCCCTGCGGCGCAGCGTGGAACCATCCCGGCCCTTCCCGGCCCTTCCCGGCGCTTCCCGGCCCTTCCCGGCCCTTCCCGGCCCATCCCGGCCCTTCCCGGTCCATCCCGGCCCGCGGCGGCGGCGGAGCGCAGCAGCAGCACTGGGAGCGGGGCGGTGCGGCCGGCAGGGGGCGCTGTCGGCCCGCGGCCCCCGCTCGGCCCCTCAGGAAGCGGCGGGAAAGGCCTGAGGAATGGCAGCGGCCGCTTGTCTCGTCCAGCGTGGATGTAAGCGACCACGAGCACCGGGAGCTTGATTCCCGATGAAGAAAAAGGTAATGAAGCAATAACAGCTAAAGATCAGAAGGATCTTTAGCTACAGTTTCTATAAGATATTCAGAAGGACACATCCTGGGAGGATTTTCATTATTGGTTTTTGCGCAAAATGAACTGCCAGTCTTGGATTTTCTACAGTTTGTGATTGGCCATAGACTGTCTAAAAAGGGCACTAAATTAAAATAATTTTTTCCCCTCATATTTTCTTTTTCCCTTTCGCTCAGAATTTTTATTTTTGTTCACCTTCAGGAACACGTAGAACTTCCCATTCTCTCCTTTTCTATTTGCCAAAACCACTTATTTCTTTGTTTTCTACTGTGCTTTTGGGGGAAAGGGGCATTGAAGAGGCAGGTACCKTTTCTTTGGAGCTGGACACAGAGTTTTTTTGCTAGCTCGGTTCTTAAGAGTTGTGAAAAATCCCTTCGGCCCGCAACATCACCCAGTCTGTCTCCTGATTTTCCATTCCCTGTGGGTCCTGGGTGCTTTCTGTCGCTTCTGGGCCAGCGCTGCCGTGTGTCCTGCAGGGACAATGCCCAGCCCAGCCCTGCCCTGCCAGCATCCTCACTCGTGTCTCACTGAGCTCTGTACGACTGACACAAGCTAGACATCTCTTTTCCATTTTTAGGAACGTGCACAAAGCTTGGAACATAGCACAGGTATCTCCAACATTCTTCCTTAAATATCGTGAATGAAGGCAGGAGAAAAAAAGTGTTTTTGACCTGGTGCTTTTCATCTATGGATGTGTTTTTCACTGTGCTTTCCCAGTATTGCCCTGAATTTCATTTCATAAATACCCACATCAAGAAGCTGCACAGATACCTCTGGGTACATTTATAATATTTCTCTGTTCTTTGATTCCTTAATATGAAACAAGCTGAATCAACCATTTAGGTTTACCTTTCCTTGCTTAAAAAATGATGAAATATGACAGCTTATGGCTTTTCTCCTCTGGATGGCAGTAACTCCTGCTTAAACATTTGTGACCCGTGACTGCAATATCCCTCAGCAAGGGATTTCCTTTTCTTTGTCAGGGTGCTCTCCAAAAGAAATATTTAATTTCATTCCTTCTATGTATTTTCAAATCTAAATTTGAATGCTAGGTAAGCTTTCAAAGAAGGAATCTGTTTAATGTACAAATCTAATTGCACAGGTGCTATGTATAAACCAGTACAGGAATCAGAAGAAAGGAGTTAGTGCTGYGCATTAGTATTTACTTGTATCCAATTATGTGTTTCATAAAAATTACCCAGTGATGTTGAGAAAATCTGATTCCTTGCCATGAAACAATGAAGCAACACCAAAAATATAGAAATGTCCTGACCTGAGAGTGTACCTGAACATCTGGCCCTTTAAAATGCTCTCATTGTAGCAGAGCATATCTGGATTTCTTGCCTGTTCATTACAACACGAATTTTTAAGACAGAACATACGTAAAGGTGATTTCCAAACACCCACTGTGCATTTATGTAAGTTAAACAAGAGGTATGAGGGGGAATTAAGCCCTCCTCCCTTCACATCTGAGGAAGTAACACTTTTTCAGTAACAAAGCTGTACTTAGATGTAGAACTCATGTTTCCTCACCAGCCACAACTAACTATTGCCTTGTTTTACTGCTGGTGAAAATGAAGCAATTCAGGGCAGCAGTTTTCAAAGATTAGTGCCTGTATCTGCACTTCCTGCTGATTCCTGCCAGCTGAGGTCTGTCCTTTAGAGAAGGAGTAACCAGCCAGATTTCTAGGGTGCTATGAGGGCAGTACTCCCCAGCTCCTGGCTCAGCAGCAGCACATGGAATTTCTGTTTTTAGAAAAATTTATTGTTCTGTTTCATTATATATATACATATATTGTTCTATATTGTTCCTGATTTTACTTGTGCGTTCAGTTCCTGGTCTGTGGACTGAATGGCCAACGGACCTGTGGTTTTTGGTAAGTGGATATTTTTCTACCAAGGGATTAGTGCTACCAATTCCTTTTAAAACCTTATCTGTTTCCAAATGGAGAAAACCCCCTTGGCTCCTAGAATTAAGAAAGACATTTCTGCCCACATTGTTTTTCAGTGGAAACCCCCAAATTTGGCAAGTTTACATTAATTTCCCTGTAATCAAGACATGGTTTAGATTTTCACTCCAAATTGCTAATGCTCAGGAAAACCACATACTTAGCTCTGTTTCTACAACTATTGTCTGGATCTTTAACAGCACAGTAAGGTGCTGCCCTTTTTCTTGTTCTGCCTACATTAGAATGAGGGAATCCAAACAGCACTGGAAGCCCTCTGTGGTGACAGAAACATTAGTCCAGCCCTGGAAACCAAGTGCTTCAGTGTCYCCTGAGTTACTTCACCAGATGGGGGAGCTAATTTTGTTACAGCCCTTCTGGAAAAAGAGTGGCACCTACCTGTGACACAAACCCAAGCCCCACACTKCAGAGGCAAATGGAATCACTGACATACCATATTTGGACAGCTTTGTTCAGGAAACTTTTTGAAGGCTGTAACGGAGATGCTCAAGAAGCTTTCAAGACTGAAGGTATCAGTGGGAGRTAAACTTCAAATGACTCCAAGTACTGTCCTGGCCTCTTTTGTTGGAATGTAAGGAAACCTGAAAAATAAGAAAGTGGGTGCAGCTAGAAAGGGGATTTTAGTTTGCCACAAAGCTGAACATTCAGCCTTTCAACAGACAAATAAAAGTAGATAAATCATGTTACACTGGTTTTACTGCAGGTCAACACCTTTGAGATCCCCTGATTTGCTGAAAAWTTTTCTCAGAAGACTTCATTAAGTTCTGGCCCTGTCACCGATTTGTCAGCAAAAGATAAAACATGTTGAGAAGCTGACCCAAGAGTTTTCTCCTTAGCACATTTGTGAAGGCCTGTTGCTGCTCATATGACTTCTGAGCTCAGGGATAAAAGAAATAGAATAAAGAGGGACACCCCCACCCACTGAACAAGCAGAAGGAAAATATGTGAGTGGTGGCATGTAGTTATTTTCTGTCCTATCAAACCTTGCTCTCTCCTACTGCAGTGCCCAGGTTTGCCTCTTCACCATGGTAGCAGGTAAGGAAGAACAGACATTGTAAAAAAAATTGAAATGGATTAAATGGTAAGTTGCAGAATTCATTTTTACTGTATAATTTTCTAAGTATAAGCTTTGTCCAGGATGTGGGGGGAATGTTTCTGCCATGCAGCAGTGGCCTACCAAACATCCCTCAGCCCTGTGAGCAATTTAAGCAGCATTCTACATGGTCTCTTTTTGGACAAGATGCAGTTTGTAAAGCTCCCCCTTTCCCTTAGCTCCAGAAAATGTCTGTATGAGTTTTCTAGATGGTGGTACGTACAGATGGCATAGTAGAAATACAGACAAAACACATGCAGCACTACATATGTTTCAAAAAATTCTTTTCTTCTTCTCTCTGATATATCAAAACGGAGTCTGATGGAAAACCAGGATCCTTTCCTGTGTGGTGCTGCAGGCCACTGTGACAACTGAGGTCAGGAGAGAAGAAGGCATGCAAGAACATTCAGGCTGACTTCCAAAATATAGTTTTCAAGTTTATTGTGARGACAGAAGAGCACTGTGCACTTGTATTTCTAGCTGTTGGCACTCCAGCTRTACCCAGCTAGTCAGTAGGATCAGTTGTAGCTAGAGCTCAGTTTGAAAGGAGATTTCAAACAGATTAAAAATTCCTATTCATTACAAGCTTCTGAATAAGTGAAACTCACTGAAAGATTGGTTTCTTTCTGAATCCTGAATAATTTTTAAATTGTGATCAGAGAATAAGGTTATTTTGGACTCTAATTTAGAAACACGTCTGGGATTTATGCTAGCACTCCTAATGTCCAGAATTACAGAACTGCCAACAGTTTGTCAAGAACAACACTCACTCTGGACTTTTTTAAAAGAAAAGCAATTAAAAAATCTGTTTGGGACAGCATCCCTGTCTCTCAGACTAGAGATGTTTTGCAACTGTAGAAGCACAAATGTAAATGCAAGATGGATCTGCACGGTGTACAAGAAATGTGAAGTCTTTCTAAAATGCCTCCTTCTATTTCCCCAAACTAATTAGCACRTGCAGCCTTACAACAAGGCTTTCTTGCTTTCTCATGCAAATGCAGTAGCAGACCTTGCAGCACAGCCTTGGAATTGAGRGCAGGGTTGCCCTTTCTGTGTTGGGGGAACAGTAGGGTCCCTTCTAGAACTTGCTTTCTGCATGTGCTGCATGAAGCTCCTGCAGCGTTAACAAATGGACAGCACAAATAAACTCCAGCATAGTTACCACTACTTTCAGGTTTCATTTACCTGAGCAAGGGCCCCTTGGCTTGTCTCTCCGTGTMGCATCAACTGCTGCTTCGACCTGCAGGAAACCAAAAGGAAAAGGTTTTCTGTGTGGGATATATACTTGTTTTCAAAAGAACTGTTGTATGAAACCCCCTATGCTTTCTGTGTTGCTGGTGTTGCCTGAGGCAGCTCTGTCATTGTTGATAATACATTAAGCACAGTACATCAGCATGCCAGAGAAAAAGATTTCCCAGGATCAGCTATGGCCTTTGTAAAGCAGTAAGCWAGAATGACTAAGGTATAAAAGGGCATACTGTGGTGAAGCTTTTATGTGAGTGGGGACTGCAAGGGCAGAGAAGACACATAAAACTAATGCCTTCTGCAAGCCATGGAGAAATTAGCAAGAAGTATAAATGGGAAAGCAAAGACAAGTAGAACAGTCACACATCCAAAAAATCACCTGGACAATGGAGCTCTGTGAGTGATCCAGAAGCAAGAATCCTGTTTTCATGTGGTGGCCCAACTGGCTGCAGAGATGGGGTTAGTTTGGCATCCATGGGCTCCCTCCTGCTGACACTGCTGAAACAGAAGAGTTTATTGCAGAACAATCTGAGCAATACCTTTAATCCTGAACCCCAGTTTTGTACAATTAAACCACAGTGGTTCAATGTTCAGGGACTATAAGTGAAAAGAAAGGACAGGGTCAATTTGCAGGAAGCAGATGTCCTGTGACAGATGACCAAGTTATCTTTACGCTGATACATAAAATGGTTTATTTGCAAATCACTGGAATGCAATGCCCTGCTGCTATAGCCTCCCCAGGTGTATTGTGTGCATCTGCACTTTCTACTTGATTTCCTCTGCCCASTCCCCTGCTGTACTCTGTGAACTTTCCTAAGGTTACAGAGAATCTTCCTTCCAAGTTACAAAATTGTCCTGGATAAAATCAATACCATAGTGGTACTTTTTGATGAAGCTATTTCTAAGCCCAAATATTCCACGCTTCCTGCTTGTTAATAGACAACTTTTCATGACTGAGAAAGATGTATTTGATAAAACAAAAAACAAACAGAGCCTCGCCCCCCCCCCCCCCCCCCAAAAAAAAAAAAAAAAAAAAAAAAATCTGGTCTTTTTACAATGTCCTTTTCTTCAAGGAACACGGAAAAAGCATTGACATGATTATGGACTTTTGTACTGCCTATAATTATTTTATTAGGAGCAGACTGGTCACTCAGTAAACCAAAGACATGAAGGTACCACCCTTTGCATGGGCAAATATGCCCGCAGTCTTTGAATTTATAAAGTTTGCACAGGCAGGTGCTAAAATCTATTGAACTAGTCAGTTTTGGAAGGCTGACCAGAATGGCTTTATATATGTCTTTCAGACATAGATTCTTCATTTATTTGAGGTAAGCAGCACATCTCCTCCTTCTTTTAATGTCATTTACGTCCATACAAAATGCTTGATCCCAGTGTCATTCTAGTCAAATTTTAAAAGCATGTAATTGCTCGTATCTCCAGTACGGCCATATGCYCTCAATGATCCCTCCACCTCAGAAGGGTGGAGACAGCAGGGTGTTTTGAATTGCATTCTAATGGCCAAGGCTTTGTAAAACCGTTTGAAAGGCCAAAAWGTGCCAAGGTGTATAGTTCTTGGCTAAGGGGAGTGCCACCCCTTTGCTTCAGAAATCACTCAATTTAAGGGTGTAGGGGCYGCTAGGGCAATCCAGTGCCATCTATCAAATCCTTCCTGAAAGGTATCTGAGAGCTAATCTGCATTTTACACAGCAGCTACAAAAACGGAGCAGYGATGCTAAATCACGGATCAGCAAGCCATTAATGTACCTAGCAAACACTTCCCTTAGATTTTTCTCCAAGATTAAAAGCTKTCTTTTGGTCATCTTTCTTGGCAACATAGAGAAAAGAATGTCACTTTTGTTAAAGGATGTCTTTTGTTAAAGAAATACTCCCTTTTGACTGATGGAAACTGTTTGCTGCATGAGGAATTGAAGCAAATAATGTGATTTGATTAATAATATAAAACATGGGAWTTTTAATAAAAAATAAGGGATTGCATTTGCTTTCATATTTTTAAATGGCATTGATCAAAATTATTTGGTGGCTAAATAAAATACTCCTCTTTCTCCTYCTCTTCCTGAATGTGGTCCCCTACAAAAACTTGGGAGGAGAAAATTGCATTTGAACACTGTGCCAAAGACTTCTCCCTACTTTAATTCTGATGGCCTGTTTTCCTCAGTTTCTGCCCCAAAATGTGAATGAGATGGTTCACTGCAGGGAACACCTGAAAGGCCTTCAAAGGAGTTCAGGGCTGGAAAACAGCAGCTCAAAGCACTCTGCCTTGCTCACGTCACCAGAACAGACACAGAGGGAAAACACTCCCTGACACGGCATTCCTTTGCTGCATCCTGGCCACTCTGTGATGGGCAGSAACAGCAGGAGGTAACAGTGATGATTTCAGGCTTTAAAACCCAGCTCTGTGGGGCCAGCTTCCAACAGGTGAGTGAAATGTAGGAAGAATGGGGCTTTTTTTCATATTGATAAATCCAGTGGAATCGTGAGCATTCCTGAAAGTGTGCAAGGCTCTGATAAGAGCTTTATCAAGCATGTATTAACATCAACTGGCTGCTGTGCTGGCCCCCTGATCAGCTGGCTTTCCTAGCAACAGTGCCCGGACAATAAGCTCACATCTACTGAGGGAGCACTTCACTGTCAGGGGAGATGCTGTTACAGTGATTCATGCTTGAGGTGTAAAGAAGAACATCCAGATGGCAGGTTTAAATACACAAAGATGCTGGGGGAACTGAGTACCTTTTAAAGATCCTCTTCAGCTAAACTTCAGTTCTGCGCGTCCGAGAGTCCTTCCATCTTCATAATTGGGGAGTCAACAGAAAKGACTGTTAATAATTAAGCACCACCTTGTGACAAATGTAATTTCCAGATGTGTTTTTAATGTGTGTAATTAAGTTTTAACAAGGTTTATTCAGCTCCATAAGGACTTTGCAGAAAAGCTTTAGTGGGAATGTACAGGACAGAACTCTTGATCTAGAAATGAAGAAAAGGCCCACGAATAGAATTTCTTTTGTTACAATGAGACTGAGTTTGCAATTTCTTGGATTAAACTGGAACAGACTTTGAGAGTCTGTCCGCCAGAGACCTAAGAATTCTGAGAGACTTCAAGCATTCAGATTTTCATCACTRGCAATATTAAAATCCTGCCTAAGAATATTCTTTGTCTTGTAGTCAAATGAATAAGGGCTAATTCCACTTAGGAAATACAATATCTTGATTTAAAGGGAATTAATTTTGACCACTGAAAGTGGTAGGAGAATATGTCTCACATTGAAAATAAAAGCCAGTCTGCCCATGGAACAGTAACATGTGCTGCTATCCATATCTGTGCCCCTCCTCTGAAAGAGGTATGATGGTTTTTCCTGAAGCTATTCTGAGATAATTGTATCTTTGTCCTTTATAAATTCACATATATTTTTATAAGCAAAGCAAGGGTCCCAATGGTGCCATTAGAAATAATCCTATAAGAGATTTCCAAAGATATGTCTTGTTTAACTTCAACAGAGAGTTAACTAAACATCTACAGAAATTTTATATTTCCTCACAACCAACAATAGATCCCTGTAAGTGTAAAGTAAGTCACACACAATCAAATGTGCTYGCATAAAAGTAGTCATGCTCTTAATCCTATAAAAAGTAAATAAATGGTGCCAATAAATACATGCCAACATGTGAGAATAAACCTTTTGTTTTCAGGCACATGTAACAACAGAACATTTTATAACCTTTTAAATTCATCAAGACTCAGGCCTTGGCTGTTTGGAAGTCTTTCTCAGTGACTGGATCACCAGAAGACTATTTGGGGTGAATTCTGCATTTTCATGCACAGATGCCACAAAATATTGAAAAAGCTTAGTTTACTTGAGAGTGCATCCTGTTCTTACAGAGTTGTCACAGATAATACAAAATTTGTCCTAGTTTGGCATTTCCTTGCAGCACCATCCGCTGCAGCTAGCACTGGGGAAAACTTGTTTTTCCCAGTCTAAATACACAGGATCTAACAGAACTATACCTACCAGGAATGGATTTATACTTCCCATGTAATAGAAATTACTTGTATCAAAATATCAGAAAAAGCCTTACACCATGTAATACCTGGATGGATTTGCCAAATCATCTGAAGGAAGATTATTAATAGAAAAAAGGTGAATGTGTTGCCTTTAGTAGAGACTTCATTACCTCACAAACTRTGCAACAGTTGTTTCAGAAAATCAAACAAACCCAATAGCTGATTGCTCCAATTTTTTTTTGCCATCTGCATCACTTTAAATAGTCACATAAAAATGACATATTTGAAAAGTTGTGGGTTTCTTAACAGAAAAATTTAATTCTCATTCACAGTGTTCTGTGAACAAAAACTTCAACACTTCTAAGAAATKAAAAAAGAAAGTGGTGAGCACATAAGGTTCTTGCTATATCTGTTATGAAGCAGAAAAAAATCACAGAACCCCAGAAATACAGGGAGTGGAACAAGAAAATTGGATGAAAGGGCTGTATCCCAAAGACAGGTATAACTATGAGTCACAGGAACTTAGTCCCAAAGAAACTCAGAGTGCCTTATAATGACATAATGAGTAAAGGATGCACTATACCTTTATAGTAAAATATTTCAGAAGGCTCCACTGAATCCTCCTGAAATACTTTTTTTAGGTTCCCTAGGCAAAGAGARTGATCTAAACTGATATATTTCACTACCACTACACAGAATGTARCATGTTGCTCAGTCTGCAGTGCATTAAGAGTATCTGGTATCCAACTGATATAAAGTAACTCTTATTTTTCAGAGTCTAGAACCCCCTGTCTCCATTGTAAGAGTCCAGATTAAAAGATTTACAGTACATAGAATCATTATAATACTGTCTTACCTGGAGTCTGTGTCTTCCTTTATGACTTCACTGATAGTATTTCTGTCTCTGGTATTAATTTCTACTAGTTTGAGCTGTGAAAATTTCTTGTTGCCCTGTTTGGCAAAGACAGAATTTAGATATTTTAGAAAACAGTAATATGCAATTGCCTCATAAGGGATATGTTGATTTATTAATCTAAGTTTTCAAGGATGTCTGTGTCTAATAGTCTCTTATTTTAACTCACGGAGCTATAAAAAGATTTGCTGGGGATCTGGAGTTTTTATTTTCTACCCGGGTATTCTTTGCAGTGCCCAAATCCGATCGTGAATTGTTACAAGTTTATCCACCTTGTGAATTTCTCTGAAATAATCTAACCCAGTAGGTTTTTGACCTTTTTGCAAGCCTCTAAATGTTTTGTGCTAAGATTATGAACTCTCCCTGCACTCTGAATTTAAGATAATGGGTAATAGCATTACTTTTCTTTGTTACTTTTCAGGTATTGCCTGGAAATGGTCCCTTTGCAGTGGTTACAGGCCAGAGGTTCAAAACCATGTGTAATTTTCTGGCCAGAGTCACAGCTAGAGTAACCTGGCCTAATTCTGCTGATTTCAAAGGAAAAATCCTTTGACAGCAGCAGTTAGAATAATGGCTAGTTTATTGTACATTAGCTGAGGAACTTCCCTTAGTTTTAGTCCTCCTCTTAGATTTCACTGTGAATATGATTGAGCTCCACTTCAATGTAATTGTATCTCCTTTGGGAAATACTTCTTACTTACTACCTGGACTAGAATATGTAGGAGAGCCCAAGAGAAATCTTAAAAAAAATTTACATGGAAAATCTCATCAGAAGATTCCTAGAAGTTTACTTTATGCTTAGTGTCAGATGTATCCTAGATATCTAATTTTTAAGGAGGCTCTTCAGTCAGATATTACCTTTCTTCTCAGTGGCACRGTGTAACACATACACAACTCCACTATAAAATATATAGTTAATAACATAAATTTTGCTTGGTTTGTCTGATCAAATAGTTCTATTGTTAAACTATTGAGCAAGGTATTTTTGAATAAAGTTATGCTGATTTACACCAGTTGATCATATACCCAATTTTTCCAATGTGYTTGAGGCTTCTTTTCCAGAGTGAGTGCAAAAGAAATAATGTTCCTCTTYCTTATGAAAAAGAAAAGCACAAATAGTTAGGAAGATATTAAGATAAGTAACAATTAGGTCTGAAATGTTAATAACTAGATATCTTTTCTGAAAATAGTTAGAAGTATTTACATTTAAAAAGCAAGCAAATCTCTTGAAAATTTAGAGAAAAATGGAAAATTGTCTTTTATGCTRTTAGTGCCTAGCTCACTTGCAGCCCCATCACATGACAACGAATAAGTAAAGAAAACTATTATTATGCAAACTGCTCCAGGACAAAAGGGTATTACATATCTCATACAAAAGGGGATTTCTTTAAAAAGCACAGCACATTCAGTGTTTTGGGTTTGCAGTTGAAATTCATGGCTTCCCTTGCCAATATTATCATGCAGCTGGGTGTTATGCTATTGCTTCACTCTGAGGGGAGAAAAAAATCACAATAAACATATTCAAATGGGTCCCTGTTAAACAGTTTTGTTCTCTTATGTGGCAATATCAGTTTTAATGATTTTTAGCATCCCTTCTCTTGTGCAAGGGTTGCAATAAAAACTACCACAGAGAGTTTGATTGCAAACAGAAAATGCCAAAAAGGTGCTTCTTTTGATTTGAAAAAAATATCACTGGCATTATTTTAGTGTTTTATTTTAGTGTTGAGAACTCATCAGATTTATAGTAATTTTTCTCTTATTTAACAGCTATGAGACAGAAATCCATCTTTCTGTAGAGAAAGCTTCTGACAGAATCTCTTGTATTTGTTCTGTAAAACAAGGGTTTATTATTTTAATTTTAATTTTAATTCAAATTAATTTATTGTCTTTCCAGAAAGTCTCTCCTGTTTAAATAAAAACAGATCAGCTGACCCAAAACATTCCTGATGAATAAAAGATTAAATGTAGTCTCAGAAATCTTCATCTCTTCATGACATGACTAGTCAAGCACTAATTTGGGTGAGTAAATGACATCTGTCTTTACTGGATTGGGTGTTTCCTGCGCCTTCTGTATGCAACCTTAGTTGTAGGAGTATTGTGAACTATCTTATTAAGCATGAATATGTTTTTCCAAAATTCTTTTAAAGGAATTTTGTAGAAATTTTTTGTAGAAATTTTGTAGAAAATAATAACAACTCACAGAGTAAAAGTCAAACAGTTGCAGAGGAACAGCTCAAACTGTTTTTCATTTGCATAAGTCATTTCTTCTCTGAGTATCTCCTGCTTTGTTTTCAAGTCACTTGCTTATATATAACTGATCTCTGTGGTACTTACATTCTTATTACAAATTTTTAATTATTTTGTCTTGTAAGGTATCAAGTGTGCTAGGAAAAGTATTGCTGAAAGAAATCTAATCCCAAATGGTGTACTTAGATGTGTACCAGGATCAGCATGGAGATAGATGTTATTTGCACACCAATTACTTCTAAATTGTATATAAATAATCAGTTATTTAAATTTGCTACACCTGATTAAGCATTCTGATATTCTCTCTTCTACTATCTTCTCTACTACTAGTTACTAAAAAATACAGTTCCAAACTTATGTGTGAAACATCAAGAAGAGATACATGCATTTTCTGGTCACCAGTGTGCATGGTTCTTGTATTTTCTACATCACTGCAACCTGGTTAACTGAGCTTCCAGCTTTCAGAAATGAAAAGGGGATCAGCAATACAGATCTGTACTTCACAAAATACTGCACAGCATCAGGGCCCAATGCCATATCCTTTTTAAAAGAGTCAGACAGATTATTCCTGTTTTAGTGAAGRGAAGGCTTGGTTACAGATGCTTGAAGAAGTTCAGGGTGTGAGGCAGTTCTTTGTACTGCTATAGCTGCTGTACCACTATGTGAAAACTTAGCACAGCTCCAATGATTTTCATGACTGAAAATTTTTCTTTGCTTGTAAGACTGCTAGAAAATGAGTCATTCTGACAGTTTTGTTTATTTCCTTTAGTTTAATGTAACGATTGTATATCTGTCCATAATGGCTCAGAACCCTCCTGGGGAAATACTGGTTTGCCAAGATTTGTGCTACTCTACTGTCACTCTGCCATTCATAGGATTGGGAGAGTGGGAATTTTGTCCAAGAGGGGAACTGTTTTGGAAGCTGTGTTTTCGTTCAGAGGGGAATTCTTTTGACACACTGAAATCTTTTTTCTTTCACTGAAGAAAATGTCTGAAACTTCAAAATTTAAAATAACGAAAGTGTATCCCAAATATTTGAGTTAACGTAACCRATAAGATTAATTTTATTGTTCAAATGATAGAATTCTTTGGGAAAAGTGAAACTGCATAATTTGTGGTGCCCTGATATAATTTGTACTTGTAACAGTCTCACAAAATTAACTTCCCTTTTGGATTCACATAAACATTACTTTCATGCTGTTCTTTTTAAAAAACAATAACATGGGAAAGTCAGGTTTGACTTTGTACTAGTGACACTCAGACAAGTGGTACCACTGACCACTTTGTACAAACAGCACTGTAGAAAATGTCTACAAGAGCATAATCACCTATCTTCCTGAGTCGCCTCCARAACATTTATCAATTACTTTCAAGATTAATAACGTGGAGGTGATACAACATCTTCCTCCTCAAGATCAGTATTTGCAGTTCACTTTACTTTGTTATTGTCCCATACACATTTCATGAAGAAGAGGAACAGACCTACTGTGCTTCCTCTGCTCTGTGCACCACTTTGTATGGGACAAGTTTTGAACACATGACATTGGGAATGCCCCAGACAATCTTGCATAAATACTAGCTTGTTCATGCTTCCATTTAGGTATAATTTGGTTTTTCCCACATAGAAACCTTTTGGTTTAAAAAAAAAAAAAAAATCTTGATTTTTCTGGAATAATCAGAACAATATAAAATTAAGAAAATGTACTAAATGGGACATACTAATTCCTGGCTGTGATTAATTCCTAGTTGTAAGCCCACCCACACACATAGCTTCAATTGCTAGTAATTTACTTGCATGAATTCAATAGAAGCAGACAAATTTCAAAATACCTCAATCACTATTATTTTAATTGACAGGTAAATTTGTCTGTTGTCCCTGCTCCGAAAAACTTAACATTTCTCAAACTGATCAGAGACAAAGTTACTTAGACTGATAAGGAACCTGAAGCCTAACCAAAAATCTTTAGTCAACACACAAAATAGCCTTCCTTGCCTACATTTTGCTTGCAGCCTCCCAAAAGAGTTGCTCTCATTTACTTGTCTGTAGCAAAGGAGAGATTTACTGCTTTGTTTTCAAGAATTCTTCAGTTCCAATGACAGGAAGCCATTCAAGCCCTATGTCAAAGTCTTGACCATTTGGGGAACTACAGTGTGATGACTTCCTAGGGAATTGAGTCACATGGGCTTAATGGCATTAGGGGTTCTGGTTATCCCTAGTAGAAACTAAGGACTAAGCTTCTCACGCTATGCTGGAAGACATCTGCCTAATGCAGCMTCATGTTCTTGCTACTCCCCTTTAAAATAGATCTGCCAGACATATTTTTGCCTCAAAATACAATCTAATTTTTTTTTTCAAATCTTCTAGGCCATGTAATTAAAAATTCTTATGTATTCTCTGTTAATGTTCTGCTATGTTTGTCTATGTTCTGCTGAAAAGTGAGGGTGAATTCTTACAAAACAGTGGTTGCAATTACAGTATCCCAACCCACGACTAACCACAAGCTTTCAACCAGGGCACATAAATGAATACAGTTTATCCTTTGCTTGAACCATCAGCATGGTTTTTGAGCATGATTTTAAAATAGCATTATCTAAAAAAACCCAATGTTATTAATCACTTCTTACAAGACCTTTAGAGGTTCTCCCTTTTCCTGTTCATAAATCCTTAGTCTTTGCATTAAATTTTTCTCAGACAGGAAACAGTAACAATTGATTTACATGGACAAAATCAGCTTTTCTCAGTTTTCAGTCYAGCTTCCTCTGAGATCTCATTGACCTCCAAAGTTCAACTTCTTCCAAGAAAGTTTTCTTTGGGATTAATAGSCTTCAGCATCAAATC